TCGGGAGCTATAATAGGTTTGGTAACCAGGCTAGTTTTACGTAGCCTCTATCAGGCTTTTGGAGATGGCTGGAAAGAGTAGATCTTGGCCAAGTAGAGAGACAACATGCCTAGGGAGTTGATCCGCTAAAGAATGTGCTCTCTAGCGGACCATGGGATTTTTTTACCTCCATGAGCGGACTCACTCCCTTGGCATGTTATCTCTCGATTTGGCCAAGTTCTACTTTTTGCACCCATCTCCCGAAGCCTGCTGGTAGAGGCTAGCTTTTACGCTGAAGAATATCACATTTGACGTTACCGTAGGCTCATGACAGGCCCATCTTCTACGTAGCCTAGACTTTACAGATAGGCAAAATCTTTTGATGGACCATGATTCAATATTAAATAAAAGCACAATAATGATTGATGATTTATGATAAATTACAAATAATAAGTATTAATTATAAATTATTGTGACTTAAAAGTCATTGATGATTAGAAAACAATTCGTGATAATCTATAAGTATAAATTTCGCTCACTCAGCACCGCAAGCTCCGGGGATCATAGCGCCTCTCTAAATGTAGAAATGAGTATAAATGATTATTAATTTATAACTGATTATAATAAATAGCAAGGATAATCTATTAATGATGAGATTTGTTGTGAGTTGTGACCTACTTATTTGTTGGTGTTTTTTTCTTGTAACATACAGTATTCAACTTTTCACCCCTAACTTTCATCATAAGAGGATGCAGCCTTATATAGATGTGGCTTTATCCACTGTTGTGTAGGACAAATATTCCGAGACAGGCTAGGACAGAATCTCATTTTAGAAATGTTAGACAAGATTCATATATGTGTGTGTGTGTGTTTACAGTAGCATGCGAAGTATGTCACGGGCGGCGCACATCAACAAACAGACATGAAGTAGCATTTCCACTTTTTATTGATTCCATCATGTCTTGATTTTATGCCTTTTTTTATGGGAAAGTACATACATGTAATGTAGGCGAAGCATTCGATGCTATCTTTGGTGATCACACGGACAGATGTCTCTAGCTTACTGCAGTCTGTACTGATGGTACTATTTATAACTCTTAACTATTTCTGCCTACGAGCAATCTCACTCTATCAAGCAAAGACGTACAGTCGAAATATTTCAATGGTGCAAGAGTCTTTTTGCAAAATCTTCCTACCCGTGATTTTTATATTATCCAGAATGTTGCGTACTGTCCAAGTAGAGTTTTTCTTTCACTCGTTTTGTCGTATAAAATGTGGCGATTGGAGTGACATGTCGAGCGTCTGTACATTTTGTCCATTCTGATAGAACATTGGAGAAAGACAGTGTAGGTGTCGGCAAGGGTTTTTTTTTATATTCCAAAATGTAATCACAAGACGTAGTGACGGCACACTCAAGTTTTTTCAACTTCACCAGGACACGGGACAATACAATACTCATTTTCACCTGAGCGAAGTGAGGAAAGTCGTGTAAAGTGCCTTTCCAAAGGGCACAAGATCGGTGGCATGTTCCGAACTCGGGACCTCTTGGTTCAGAGTCGAGCACTCTGCCGCTACGCCACATGACCCCACGGCAAGGGTTGAAACTTTAGTTGACTCAAATGTGGTGTTCAAATGACACTTGTTGGTTTGTACGACTTCTCTCTATCTGTTGTTCCGATTTTTTTCCAGAATGCAATTGATGTTTAACGAAATATGTAGGGCCGCACTTCAAGGTTTGTTAATTCATAACAAATGACGTACATATGGTTCCTCGTACCATTCCTTGTCAGATTTTACGATTTTACAATGAATCAGAATGTATGCAGGCCTCGAAATTAACTTTTCTCCTTATTGTCCCAGCACTGTCCCAATGATAAATTTCAATTGTCCCGAAGTGAGGATGAACTGCCCCAACCTGTTTTTTTTTAAGTATTGTATTTCTTCCACTTGAAGTCAACTTTATTTGCTTATGTTAACTCCCAGGCGCATTATAATTGCAGAGTAGACAGGAAACTCGAAGGGATTTTTCTGGATCCAAAAACCGAGACGTGTGCCTGATAAACAAAAGACAGGTGACATTGTTGTTGATTATTTTTCTATTGTCCCAAAAATGTCCCAAAGTGACATTTTAGTTGTCCCAGTCTAAATTTTAGTGGTCAGTGGCCATTGGACCACCTTTAATTTCGAGTCCTGCCGTATATACCACCCGCTAGGTCTTTCCCCAACGCCCTATCTACTCACATTATTATAGCTGACATAGAAAACATTAAGTCTGCCATTCATAGCCTTATCAAGTTATACGCTTCAGCTCTAAGTTTGCTTTGTACAAAGTCGTCTTTGCTGCCCAGGAAACAGTAAGCACTACAGGTCCTGGCTACGTAGTAACGCCTCACAGTCACACTGAATAAAAGGGACCACTAGCGGTCAGTACTGGTACTGCAGTGAATAACAGCTTGGACCTGTCAGCATCGCTGAAGTCAAAGGCAATGGATATTACACAATGAGGAACTTACGGTATCATTTACATGTAGTTCTTGGTGTTCCCTGGCGTTGAAATTATGATATGTATCATAAGGCAATTTTAAATCGGCTAGATAAGTACAAGAGACTCAACCTCTCTCAATCATGATGTCTTACATTGAGGGGAGTCCTACTATGGTATATAATAATTATTACAAATGTCATTTCTGTTTCTATGTGATATAATACATTCTGTAAACGTACGGAATATACACTACATCTCTATTGCATGTATTGCACATTAGTTGTTGTTGTTTTTTTACAGGTGGGTCACACAGCTGGGTAACAGGTGATTGTAACAGGTGCAAAAGTATTGCGTTGGAGTAGATTCCATGAAAAATGACTTGGAAACGAGAGCTAGGGCAGCTATTGGACAATCTCAAATCCTCAAACTTTCAAAGGACTTCATATCTCATTCACACAAAATTTGGACATTTTAGTATTAAAGATGCAGTTCCAAAGCTTTAGGCAAAACGGACCACAGTGCCTGTGTGTGGAAAGGAAAACTTGCAAAACCATCCTGAACATTTATGATATGTTATTATTTCTTTTACAAATATGTTATTATTGCATAGTTATTTTTATATAATGCTTTTATAAATAGAAATTTGTACAAGGAGCAAACTGCACTAAGGTTTACACATGCATGGTGTATGCTGTACAGTCTGGACTCTGGTAATGTAGCCTGACTAAATCTGCGCTCCTAGCGGCCGGCCCGGTATTACACCTGGGGGCGGCTGGTGTAATACCGGGCCGGCCGCTAGGAGCGCAGATTTAGTCAGGCTATCTGGTAATGCTACTGAGTTGGAAATAATGTAAATATCGCACGCTCAGAACCACAGGTTCAGAATGCAGAATGATATACATGTACTATATCTATCAGTGCTGCCATTGGGCCATGCTGATTTGATTATATGGATGACATCCGCGCGCACATAAATTTTTCGGCCGTTTCAAAAAAAAAAATCAACCATTCTGTAAATCGTACAAAACAGTTGCAAAAGGAGCAAATATATAGTACCGTAAGTTGCCAAAAAAAAAATATTGGAAAACGATACAAATGTCGTAGAATGCCAAAATCAAACGAAAGGGACGAAAATGTAAAAAAAAAATGAATTTGAAGAGTAGATTATACTCTGTTGTCATTTGTTCCACCTTCTTGGCCAAACTTTTTTTTTTTGCCAAACCTTTTTTATTCGCACGCTCGCATCAGTTTTGGGGCTCCCAGAGGATGTCATCCATATAATCAAATCAACATGGCCTTATGTACCAACGGGCACGACAGAGGAGAATCAGCGAACTGTGTTAGCATAACCTTCTCCCTGCTGCCTAACCCAGTAACCAACACAATTTTGGTGCCAAATGGCTACCTTAGTAGGCTGAAGGTTAAAGAAGCTCAAGAACATGTTTAAAGTTAGAACTTTTGATCCAACACAATAAAGTTCTCTCACCTAGAGCTTTCAACCAGTCACTCTGGTCTTCCTCAGTAGACTGACCATGTGAGGCTTGTCACGTGGCTTCTTTGA